TGGGATTGGCTTTGTATTGAGATCACTGTGGTAAAGCCTGTCTGTGCTCATCTATTTTCTGATTTGATGGTGGTATCTATGAAAGGAGGAGCAGGTTACTTGGTAGCCCAAATTAATGAATATTAATACATCCCCAAGGGTAGGAAGCCATGGGCCACAACCCACAGGAGGCAGTCTGCAGGGCACACAGATGGCCATCAGGCCATCTCACATGGGTGGGTGGGTGGGCAAGAATGTCACTGTGGGATCAAGGGCATGTGTGATGGAGAGGTGGTGGTTAGGCTGTTATCCTGGGGGACGTGTCACATACAATGAAATACCACAGCCTCAGCCCAGCCCAGATGAACTCTATGCAGCGTTCTCCCCCAACGCCCTTCTCCCATGTCCTTGGGGATGCTTTAGCCTTGAGTGTGTAGCACAAAAAGACGACTGAGAAAATAGTCCTGGGAAGTGATTACATGAGCACAAGATCCTTGGGCATTTACTTTTGTGACCATAGGAAAGTTCCTCAATTTCTCTAAGCCCTAATATCTTCTTTTGTAAAATAAGGGTGATATAATAATGCCCGTCTAAGAGATTTCTTGGGAAATTATGATAGATGAGTCGCTGAAAGCATCCTACAGCGTTTGGCCCATCGCTCATAGCTCTTGCTAACTACAGGGTGGCCACCCAGCCCAGGTGAAGGGGTCCATTACTAGCTCCAGGCCATGTGCACTGAATCCAAGCTGTAGCATCTTGCAGAAGCAGTTGCAAGCCTTGTTGTGACCTCCCCAGCAATTCCCCTTGCAGTTAAGGTGCAGAATGAGGCACAGAGTGCCCAGTGTACCTCCTTACTGGAGGGAAATGGAAGTAAAACAATATTCAAAGAAAGTAGAAGGCTATGTCCCTTCAAAAAAGGCCAGAAATAACTAGCCTTATATCCACATAAGCACTTCCTTCAGAGGTCCCCAAAGATGTGTCTTGTGTGTTGTTTTGAGGATTCAATGGGAAATATGTGTGTCCAAACCCAGATTTTTACCTGGAGACAGACACTGTCAAATAGTAGGTGTTGTTGAGAAAAATTGAGCCTCAGGGTTCAATGAAAAAAGGAGAGGGAACCAACACGTAGAATTGCATAACAATGACAATGACAGCAACATAAAATATTCACAAGAGTGCTGAAAAGAAACGCAGCTACACACTCTCACCCAGGAGGTGACGGTGGCTGGTGCGTGAGCATGGCCGTATCAGCTGAAAGCCCAGGCAGGAATCCTGTGGCACATTTGAACTGGGTGTTCTCAGGACGTTTTACTGAGGTGTGAGCAAGGTCAGTAAGAGAACAGGCGATAGAGCAGTTCCCGGGTCTGGAGACAGCAGGTAGCCCTATGTCACATTAGAAGGGACAGGAGAAAAGGGGACATGACCAACTCCTAGAGAGAAGGGTGCGGAGAACTGCTGGTCCTCAGTCTCCCACCTTCTTCTGGTCTCCACTGTCACCTCCAACTGACCCCGTCCAATCAGTAGCCAGACAGTGAGAGATCCAGAAGCAGGCTCCAGGTGGGTGAGCCTCAAGGGCAGGGAGCAGAGTGGAGAAAGACAGTGAGCCAGCTGGGAAGAGGGAGTGACTTTTACATTTAGGGGTAAGGTCAGAAATCAGGGCCCAAGATGCTTGTGCTTGGCTTCGATACTTTCCCCAAAGCGACCTGTGTCCGGGATGCCTTCCTTTTATCCGCAGCATGTCTGGCCCCACACAACCACACCCTCCTATAGGTTTGCAGAGCCTCCAGTAGGAAGCCCTGGTGTCCAGGTTCTTCACACAGTTGTGAGGTCCATGGGTGCTGGGCCAGTGCCCATGTCCCCCTTCATTCCCAGGCCCCCCAGATGACCAAGCAGGCTCTAGCAGTTCAGGTCTGCCTTGCTTCTGTGAAGCTTGCAGATTTGCAGGAAGGCCCCGTGGGGCCCGATCATCACTGCCAGGGGCTTTCTCAGGAAGACAGTCCCTGGGGAAGTGTTTGCTTTCTTACTCTTCTGCAGAGAGTGGGCTGTGATCGGGAGGGACAGGACAGAACCCTCTCTGCCCTCCCTTGCAGGGCCAGCTGAGGCAGTACCTCCCAGGGAGTTTGCAGAGCCTCCTCTGGAATGTCTCACATCAAATCAAGTTGCTGGCCTCCTCTTGCAGAATGACCGGCCGAGATTCCACTTAGCTCCTTTGTGACTAAGGATGGCTGGACTTGCTGTATCAACGCTTTGACTCAGATGCTCTGACACCTTCAAGGGTTCTTACTGTCATTTTCTGGTCTTATAAAAGTAACACATGCATATGATTCAGATAGCCAGACAGGGGAATGCTGGGAAGGACAAAGCGTGAGAAATGACATGTCTGCACTTCTGTCTTTATGCACAAAGTCACTCCTGATGGTCTCAGCTCTGAACTGCTCTGGGCGCTGTTTAACTCAATGCACTCGTATTATCTCCTAATATTCTCAAGTCTAGGTAGAAGTTACTGAGTCATTTGCATGTGACAGATCTTTAGTTTTCTAACCACAATTCCACCACCCTCCCCACGACTTCTGGTTTTTGTCATTTCTGCTTCAGCTGAAGCACACTCCAGTACTTGACTACCTGTATAATTTTAAGGGATAGATACAGTTTATTGTTTGATCTGTGGACTTTCCATAGCAAATCCCAACTCAGTGCTTAAGAGGAAACAATTGATGCCATGAACTCATTTCTGCCTTTTCTCTTCAAATTCAGATGGCAATCCAAAAATGTTTACAACATTTACATTCAATTTTATAAATAAATTCCATCTTCATAGGATAACTACCAACCTCAAAAATTGATAGGTGATATTTATAGCATAAAAATGTGCAAGTGCTATTCTCCAAAACCAAGGGTTTCTAACAAAGGGGAGGGAGTCTAATGTCGCTGAGGAGAAAGTTGAAACATCAAGTTCAAGGGACTCTCCCCTGTTCTGATTGTCTGTTAGCTGCTTGAACCATTTAGTTGGCTTCATGTGTAAACTGACTTCTAAAAATCATTTTTGATGGTGTTTCTAGGTATTTTTACATATACAAAATCCAGCATCTGAATCATATTCTTTGCTACAAAGAGTGTTCTTCATACTTTGAGACACTTTCTCAGGATTCTCTGCCTTGTGATTCAAATTGGACCTTTTCCCCCATGTCTGTCAACCAGTGTTCACCTGGAATATTTTTAATATATATATTTTTGGCTAAGTGCATTATATAATAAATTTCATTAGACCTGTTTTTTTAGTTCCTCATTTGTTACTTGGAAGCACAACCTTAAACATTTTTTTTTTGGTGAAGAGCCATTTAATGTTCAAAAATTGTGCTTTTATATTTGTTAGCAGGATTGAGAAAATAATTGCACTTAGCCATTTAATTCTTGGGATAAATTTTAACGACGAAATCTAGTTTCTGTGCAGAAACTTTTCAGAATTAAGTATTTTAGGAATTTGGATCATTCCAAATTTGACCAATTAATGTATATATCAATTGAATTTCTACTAATTTATAAATACTATTAGCTTTCTGAGTGCAGCCTTTGTTCCCATGGCTCAATTATTTGGCTTCTACTTCTTCCAACCCAGCTTTTTTAATGAATAAGAACATTTTATGCGTGTGTGTGTGTGTGTGTGTGTGTGTGTGCAGTTTCAGCGACTGTCAGCTTTGTTTTGTTGTCTGTATTTTTTGCCACATTGCTTTTCCATGAGAGCACAGGGAGCACACCCCTTAGGGTCCAAACGGCAAAGTCAGAATGCTCGCTGTCTTCCGAACAGTCTCAGCGCTGTGGTGGCAGCCCTCTACTGCGGTCTTTGCTGTAACTTGCTCAGGCTCCAGGTTTTGCAATCTAGGGTCCTTCAGAGCACATCCATTTTACAGAGTTGAGCAGCACCCGTGTACTATTGACTGTCAATGACCCAAATCCTGTCTTTGGTGTCTTTCTGGAGCCCAAGAACCAAATGTGGTAGAGTCCCATCACATGCCCACTTTGCTTCCCAAATTTAATTATGTGTGTTTACAACAGTGAGGGGTGTGTGTGTGTGTGTGTGTGTATGAGAGAGGTTTAAATACTACAAGCAGTTCCACAGTTCCAGCTTCCAAACCCATTATTAATCAATCTGACCTTGAATGGACGTTAGGATAGAATGCCCTGAAATCGCCTGATAAGCTGCCATTAGAACTCCTTATATCCTCCTGGAGTGATATGACAGACTGTGCCAGGTTAGCCCTCAGTATATAAGCAAGGGGTGGACACAGCATGAAAGATAGACAAATCTTTCTGCTTTACCAAATGTTAAAGCTTTATCTTGTGGTCTTTTTTCATCTGGAGTCATTGCCAAAAGGCCTTACAGAAATTTGGTCCAATGGAAGCATGATCCTGTTAGTTTTGAGATGTACTTTCTGTTTTCGTGGTATATCGCTTTACCAGATCTGGATCCCAGAGCTGGCAAAGTTGGTATAGGGTCAGGGGTCAGAGGTGCTGGTGCCTGTGTTGATGGCTCTTGGTCTTTCTTATCCCATTTCCAGAATTGTACTGATCCAATGTGAGAGATGCCCCAAGAACTTGCAGTTTTGCTTTTGCAACCCGTAGTATTCAATTCTCCTTTCCTTTTGTTCATGTTCACACAGTGGTGGCCTCATACCTACCCTCCTCAAGCCCCATATTGACAGCTCCACCAGTTTAGTTTGTCTTGCTCAATGACTCGATGCTTGTGGCTTGGTATTAGACACTGGGCTTCTTTTGATCACACCTCAGCTCCCCACCTACCCCAAGATTCTCCAAGAATGTTGTCCTGCTTGGGGCTTGTCTACGTCAAAATGCCAGGTGTGCCCACAGTGGTAATCACGTCTTCTGATCTGCTTTGCAGCCAACAAGTTCCCTAGATCCTCAGCTCAGCCTCAACCCTTGCAGACCAGGGCAGGCTGCATCGTCCCTACCTCCAGCTACTGTGTGAGGATCTGCAGTTTATCTCTGCCCCGAAGATGATGAAGATGGATGACAGGTGCTACCCTGTGATCTTCCCAAACTCACACAACTTCCGCCCCTTCACTTCTGATTCTCTGGCTGCAATTGAGAAACGGCTCAGCATCCAAAAGGAGAAAAGGAAATCCGGAGACAAGACCGGGCCTGAATGTCCACCTCGACCTCAGCTGGATCTAAAGGTTTCCAGGGAGTTGCCTAAGCTTTATGGTGACATTCCCCATGACCTGATAGGGAAGCCACTGGAAGACTTGGATCCATTCTACAGGAATCATAAGGTACTTCCATGAGCATTCTGGGGTGGGGGCAGGGGCATGTTGCCAGTTGATTTAAAATTGTGGTCACAGTTTCTCCAAACACCGACCTTAGGGTTGCACTTCTTTTTTTTATTACCCTCTCAATGTCCTGAGAACCCCTGTCAGTCCTCGTTTTCTCTGTAACACACATGTTGGGGGAGAAGATGAGAATGAGGAGCAGAAGGTTAAAGCAAGGAAAACATAGAAGATGACAGCTGTAAAGAGGGACTGGACTAGCTGTCAGAGAAGTGAGGTGGAGGCCATTCCACTGATCCTTGCTTTTCTAATCTGTGCAATGTGTATGATGCCTGGAGCTCCTACCCTGCAGCAAGGATATACTAGGTTGTAAAGCATTATATTAACATAAATAATTCATATCACTGTCCAGGAATGCCTATCTCAGTAACTAAATTTTACTGTGAAAAAAAATTCTTGGATAGAAAGCTTTCTAGTGTATTAAATGAGATTTATTAAGGCCATTTCAACACCTGACACTAAGTAGAGCACCATGAATGTTTATCATGAATGAAATGATAACCACGCGGGCACACACAGCTCGTGAGAAAGACCCATGCAAAAATGTGAAAATGTTGGCATTCCATCCATCCCAATGTGGTCCTTGTAGGAAGCTCTTGAAAAGAGCTTCTGAGTGAGAAAATGGGAGTGCTTGGTTACCTGGCTGGCTTGTTAGAGACTGTGAGAGCACCCCCTGAAGACTGCTCCTTTAGGAAAGGTTCTCAAGACCCAGCCATCACCATCATTTCACTGTATGACTCAGCAGAGAATGGAAAATCCACCTTACCCAGACACAGGTTGGAGAGGCAGGAGGATGGGAGCTTGCAGGAAGTATTAGGAATTACAAGACACTGAAAGCCTCCTTGTTTGGCACCATGAGGCTCTGACCTCCCAAAGAAAATTCACCTGGCTGGCATGACATTTAGCTTGGAAAAATCTTAGGACTGTCCCACCAACTGGGACTGTATTTATAGAGAGATCTAGTGTCAGTGGAAAGGACAAGAAGGGGGAGATAGAGAAAGGAGGGACACTGCAATATTTCTCTTGTTTTCAGTTGCTAGGGAGAAGTTACCTGAGTGAGTCCTCCTTCTGCCCAATACTGACAGGAGACCCACGAGCCAGGCAGCATCTTGGTGTGCGTTGGGCTCCTTTCCAGCCTGGATGGAGATCCCAGGAAAATCTTCCTGCCTGGTCCTCCCTTTAATTCATACAACATGACTCTTGTTTTGAGTTCTGCATGACCATAACCCCTGTGGTTGGTACTCTCAACAGCCATGCGAGGTGTATAGGGTTGTTACCATGGATGCCTCTTACAGAGGAGGAAACCAAAGCAAAGAAGGGTAAGTGCTTATACCAGGTCCAACAGCCCATTAGTGGTAGAGCTGAGATTCAAGCCCAAGGGCTCTTTCTGTAGTCACAGGCCATTTCCTCTCTTTTGAAGCCCCCATGTTCAAGAGTTACAGAGAGAAAAGTATCGAGGTGTGCTCGAAGGCACTTCAGCAAGCAAGACTACAGTCTTGAGAACCCTGACAAATATAATTAAAGACATCATTAGCTAAAATATTTAAAGTGATAGAAAAGACATGAATCAAATACCAAAAGCAGCGCCTTACAATTCCACCATGACTCTAGGGTATGGGGGAGTCTCCCTCCAAAATTCATTGGTCACAGAAAGCACACTGGTGCTCTGGAGGTCTTGGGCACGTGAGCTGCCACCTAGAAGAACCCTGTTTCCAGAGTCATTGTACTGTGAAGGTAAAGGAAAATATCCAAATTCCCACCTTTGCCCTGGTCAGATGGCACTGGGCTGGTGAACTGCAGCAATTCATTGATGAAGGCTTGGGGGTCAGCAGTGGCTGAAGTTGGGGTACCTGAGTTAAGTCAACAGCTGCCCAACTTTCTTTAGGATTGTTTACCATCTGAGAACATGCTGGGCTCCATGGTCAAATGAGACTTTCCACAAATCTACTAGGAGCAGTGATATGGGGATGACAGAAACGAAGACCCTACTCTGTGAAGGCCTCTGTGACTGACTGCCTTGGGGACAGGTTAAGGGATAGCCAGACGACAGTAAAATGGAAAGAAAAGGATCTGATGTTAGATGGCTGTAGGTGTTAAGTTATCATCGGAGGGCTGCTTCATTCACAGAGCCCCTGGTGAGCTGTTGGGAGGAAATGGGTTTGATGTTCTTCAATGTGGTCCACGTGGACACCTTGGATGTGTAATGCAGATATGTCCTGTATTCGGCATCCCTGATACTGTCCACTAAATCACACTGCGGATCTTTGTGACAGCAACCCAAAACACACATGCTTCCATGAGTCTTCAGTAGGGAGAGCATTTACCTCTCCAACTGGTTAAGAACCGCAGATACGTTTGACCCTATTTGCATGGGAAGAATGGAACAGTAAGTACTGGAATCTTGGTAATGTTCTTGAAGGTTTTCAAGGTTAGAATTGATTGACTATTTAATGTAGAACTCTTCCAGCCAGCCACAAAACCAAATGTTTCTAAGTTTCCATCAATGAGTAACATGGCTTAAAATAATTACTGAAAGTGGATTTAAAACTCAATTTCCATGCCTTCTACCTTTCTGCTAGCTCTTGTCCCCACAGAGATATATCCCATGAAGTCAACATTACAAAGTTTATTTGCCCTAGTTATTACTCTGTAACTCTATTTTCTATATTTTCAAAGCTCATGTTCTGGATCTCCAGGGTACTCCAAAGAGTAAATGAAACCCAAGTCATGTGGCAGTGTGGGGAGGTATTTGTTGGCTCCCAGAGTCCCAAGAAATGGTCAGAAGATCAGAAAATATCTCAGGCATCAGAATAACGGCTCTACAATCATTAGCGGTACTTCAAGTAGCATGCCAAGCCAGGTCTCCACCCTTGCTTCCACTCGGTTTTCTCTAAATGAGCTCAGGATAAGTGATGTTTTGTCATTGAGTTTAATTTCTGTTGTTGTTGTTTTTCAGACATTTATGGTGTTGAACAAAAAGAGAACCATCTACCGCTTTAGTGCCAAGCGTGCCTTGTTCATTTTTGGGCCTTTCAATTCCATCAGAAGTCTAGCCATTAGGATTTCAGTCCATTCATATCCTTTTTCTGAGTCCAGATCATGTCAAAAGTTCACAAGCTCTATAGGGTGGTTGTTGAGTTTGTGCATACTGAGTTGCAACACACATTTATTCCTTTGACAAATACTGGCAGAGTACCAGGCTTTGTAGCAGGAAGGGCGCAGGCTTTAAACAAGGTCTGCCTGCTACTTTGGCCTTCTTGGTCAGAGCAAAAGGTGGGCAATTTCTACAGTGAGACCGCTACTATGAAAGTGATAGCATAGAGAGATTATTGCTGTGCTTGGGAGACTCCAACATGGCTTCATGTAGGCATCTAAGGTGCCACTTAAGCAACTATAAACTGGCAGCCTGTGCACTGTATTGTTCTGGATTTGTTCAGTGCTTAAAATTTCGGTGACAATTTCTAACAGAGAGTCTAGTTCCCCATGTTCTCAGGAAGCAGGGCATTTGACAAGGCTGGGCCTCACTCCCACCTGGCATAGACTGGTAAAATGAGAAACGGCTACCCATTTTAGAGAGACCTCTAGGCTTTGCCTACCTAACTCAAAAGCTTCCCTGTGGCCCAGCATCAGCCCAATTCACACATTTATAGGACTGAAGATTTAAAATGCAGATGTTGGTGGTAGTAATTAAGCCTGTCTGATTTGTGCAGCGGATGGGGAAGGCAATGGGCTATATAAATAGTAGGCAAAATAAAATATTGAGGACAACAGCAGTCATTTCTGCCAGGTTTTGCAGACACAAAACTGAGCCAGGATTGCTATTTAAGGAGGGAAGCAGAAGGGGACGAAAACAAGAGCCAACTGAGGTTGGGGCCCCAGCTGACTCTGGTTCAGCCTGAGCCCATGGCAAGCTGCAAACCATGAACTGCCTGCAGAATCATCGTAACCCTCCAGCAGGAGGCCAGAGTTTCAAATGCCTGAGTCAGCTAGACATGTGGAAGCGGGCATTTAGCCCTGCAGGTGGAAAAGCCTGCCCATTTGATAGGGAAGAGTTCTCCAGTTGAAGGGATGGTTTCGAGTTGTCACAGTCGAAGGACCCATGTGCCTGCAGAAAAGAAAGTCAGAAGGGATTGCTACAGCTTGCATAACAGGAACAGAGATGGTGTGTCTGCCTGCCACGTTTCTGCCTTAACAGCCGTGGGCCACGCTGTTCACCATGTTCATCATCAGCACTGTGGTCATCAACTGTGTGTTCATGGTGATCACTACGGAGAGCAACAGCACAGCCTCCAACATTCCTGAGTAAGTGTTTCTAAACAAGCAAACCCAGAGAAGAAATTGTGATTGTGCTAAGGCTGAGAAAGTCATGGCGCTCATCATTCCAATTTCCTAATGCAAGTGCTGGCAGAGTCAGTTATATTTCTGTGCATTTTCTTTTTTTTCCTTAAGATTTACTTATTATTTTTATTGGAAAGTCAGATTTACAGAAAGAAGGAGGACAGAGAGAAAAATCTTCCAACCACTGCTTCACCCCCCCCCCCCACGTGACCACAGTGGCTGGAGTTGAGCTAATCTGAAGCTAAGAGCCAGGAGCTTCTTCCGGGTCTCCCATGTGGGTACAGGATCCCAAGGTTTTGGGCTGACTTTTGCTGCTTTCCCAGACAACACGCAGGGAGCTGGATAGAAAATAGAGCAGCCAGGACTCGAAGAAGCACCCACATGGGGTGCTGGTGCGTGTAAGGCAAGGAATTTAGGTACTAGACACTAGGCTACTGCACCTGACCTGCGCGTATTTCTTAGTGGCTTTAAATCATCCTTAAAGTTGCATTTGTCGTAAACAACACACATGCCATTTTATGTCTAGCTTTTAAGTCATCTTATTTGTACTTGAAATCATTTTGATGACTATGTAATTAGTTACAAGGTGACTAGATCATAATTGACCTAATTCTCTTGTATTTTACTATTATACATAGCGTTGCCATGGACATTTTTAAAATTATTTCTATGTAATAACCCTCTTAGGAATGGATCCTTAGATGTGCGTTTCATAAATCCATGTGCATTTATGTTTAAACACACACGTGTGCACACACATATACAAAGTATATCAATAGACTTTCTAAAATGTTTGTGTCAGTTCATTTTGGCATCAGTAACACCGTATCACTTCTTACCAGTTTTGATGTTTTTCTTCCGTAACTTTCACAGTCAAAAATCTTAGCATTTCTTTCATTTCTAACCCGTGAATTGTGTGTTTCCATCATTTTAATTGTTTCCCCTATGAGTTATTTATATAATTAAAATATTAGCTTTGCCCATTTAATTGACTTTTTAGTTGTACAAGTTAATTTTACCATATAAAATTTTTACATACATATCTTCGTTTCAAAGCTAAACTTGTGATGTTAGGATAATTTTAAACTTATTAAACACAAATTATGAAGTAGTACGATTTCCACATACCCACATTCAGCTTCTCTTCTTATTCTCTTATTATTTATATATATATGTATGACATATCTGTCACCACGAACATGCCTAGGTTTCTCTATTACCTTCATCCAAATTCTATCCCCCTCACTCTCTCAGCCTCCGATAATCATCATTGTATTCATACTCAATTTACTTGTTGCTTTTTTAAAAAAACAATTAATTTATTATTCCATGTTATAATTCCATAGGCTCCAGGATTTCCTTTCTCCCTTCCGTACTCCTACCAATTTCCCCCATGTCATTACAACAGTATAGTTCTTCACAAACACTCGTAAGTCCACCATTCTACTGTTTATATATCCTGACACTGTAGACATGGATAATGGCAGAGTCCAGCATCCTGTTGTCAAGATATATCCAACAGTTTCATTGGAAATCCATCTTTGATTTGGAAGCAGGGATGCATGCTGCATTATATCTTCACATCTGTATGTGAGAGTCTCTACTACACAGCTACTATACACACCATTAAATAAAAAGTCATAAAGCAAAATCAACAGCAGAGAAAAAAATAGAAAATTTACAACATGAAATTAAGTAACATGCTACTGAATGATCAATGTATCACTGAAGAAATGAAAAAAATCAAAGACCTTCCTGAAGCAAATGATACTATTGTGTGATCTATGAGTCAGGGAGGAAATTAATAAGAAAGACAAAAACTTTTTTTTTTTGAATGAATGAAAATAAAAATATCAAACCCCTGAGATGTTGCACAAACAATATTCAAAGGACCATCAATCTTGTATTTCGCAAGAAGGTTGCGTTGTAAGTATCAGAGAAAACATATAATTCAGTGTTGGTATCTAAAATCTACCCATTTCTTTTAGTTCTTCTGTTTTGTTTGCATATAGTTGCTTATAATAGTTCCTAATATTTCTGCATATAGTGTCTGACATTATATTTCCTTTTTGCCTTTAATCTTATGGATGCATATATTCTCTCTCCTGTTTTGATTAGTTCGTTTAGTGAGGTGTGTACTTTGTTGATTTTCTCAAAGAACCAGCTCTTTGATTCATTGATTGTATCCATTGCCCTTTTTGTCTCTGTTTAGTTTATTCCCTTCCTTATTTTGGTTATTTCTTTTTTTTTCCTGCTAATCTTGGGATTGCTTTGCTGGTACTTTTCTAACTCCTTCAAATGTATACTTAGCTTATTTACTTGTTTACTTGTTTGCTTCTAATTTCTCCACGTAATTTGACTGAAATGAACTTTCCTCTTAATACTGCCTTGATTGTGTCCTGTAATTCTTCATATTCTGCATTGATGCCTTAATTTGTTTCAAGAAATTTTTTATTTTCTCTTTGATTTCCTCTATAACGCATTGCTCATTTTCTAGCATATTATTCAGTCTCCAGATCTTTGCATGTCTTCTGGGGTGTATTTTGACTTTTTGGTCTCCAATTTTATTCCATGATGACAGGAAAACGTGCATAGTATTATTTTGATTTATTTTAATTTGCTCACGCTTATTCTGTGGCCTATAACAGTTCCACGTACTGATGAAAAAACCAGTGTGTTCTGTGTCTTCAGGAAAAAAGGTTCTATTGATATCAGTTAAGTCCATTTGCTGTTTGCTGTAGTGTCTTGTCAGCTCTGTTGTTTCCTTGCTGAGTTTTTGTCTCATTGATATGTCAGTTGATGTGAATGGGATATTATTAAGATCCTCCACTACTATTTTGGAGTCTGTTTCTCCCTTAGATCCGTTAATGTTTGTTTCACATAGCTAGGTACCCTAGCATTTGGTACATATATTTATTATTGTGATCTCTTCTCATTAAATGGAGCCTTTGATCATTATGTGGTGTCCTTCTTCATCTCTTTTCATATTTTTCACCTCAATGTCTATATTATCTGATATAGAATGGCTAAGCCAGCCCATTTTTTCCCCATTAGTCTGAAATATCTTTTTCCATCTTTCACTTTCAGTTTCTGTATATCTTGGTTGGTTAGATGTGTCTTCTAGGCAACAAATAGATGGGTTTTGTTTTTGGGTCCAGTCTGCTAATTTCTAATGTTTGATTGATGAGTTAAGTACATTTACACTCAGGTTTAATATCATTAGGTAGCAATTTGGTCCTGTTATTATAGTAATGGGTGGTTCATTGATAGATTTAGTCTTTTTCTTTTTTGTCATTTTACTGGAATATTCTCCATGTTTGTCTTTGGTGTTAGAAGGTCTCTGTTAAGAGAACATCTTTGAGTATCATTTGTAGGGCAGTTCTGGAAAAGGCATATTCCTTGAGCTTATTTTTACTGTTAAAATTTTTCTTTCATGTTCAAAGACAAAGGAAAGCTTCTCTGGGTAAGCTATCCTGGGCTGACAATTTTTCAACTTTAAAATCTGGAACATGCTACTGCATTCTCTTCTGGTCTGTTGAGTTTCCTCTGAATGATCAGCTATGAGTCTCATTGGGATTCTCCCATATGTTAATTGATTTTTTCCATGTGCATATTTAAGGATCTTTTTCTTATATTCAACTGTAGAGAGCTTGATACCATATATCATGGCAAAGATTGTTTTTGGTCAACCCAATTGGGAGTTCTGTGTCCTACCTGTATTCTGTTTCCCAATTTCTTCTTTGTATGAGGGGAGTTTTGTTTTTTTATTTCAAGGAATACATCGTTAGATACAGTTTCTCTCTGTGTGCCTTCTGGAACTCCCATAACCCTTATGTTTGGCATTTTAATAGTGTCTTTTAATTCTTGAATACCTTTTCTTTGAGGGGGGCTGGAGTCAAATTGTTTCTCCAGTGTGGCAATATCTTCCAATTCTGAGATCCTTTCTTCTGCCTCACTCATTCCATTACTGAGAGTTTCCAAGGCATTTTTAACTTGCTCGCTTGTGTTCTTAGTGTCTAACATATTCACTTTTTAAAAATCCTTGCTATTTCCTGTATAGCATATTCCTTAACTTCCTTGAATTCCTATATGTGCTTCTCATTGTTGACAAGAAGCTTTATAATGGGTTTAAAAATTCTTTATCCCCCATTTTCTCGGTGTCTTCCTCAGTTAACTCTGAGGTTGACAAGGCACACATCTATGAGGGGGAACATGTGGGATATGCTTTTGTGTCTGAATGATTGCACTATTTCACTTACCATGATGTTCTCCAGTCCCGTCAATGCCACTGCAAACGACAGAACTCCATCTCTCTCTGTTTGTAAAAATAGATGTATAAGCATAGCACATCTTTACAATCCATTCATGTGAGGGTGGACACCTTGATTGATTCTATTTCTTAACTGTTGTGACTAATCCTATGTCTATTAGTCATTTACACCTTGTTATTTTGAAAAATGTCTGCTCATTTCATTTGCCCATTTATTCATAATCATTGAAGTTTCTGAAACTCCTGGATATTGCTCCTCTACCTGTTGTTTAGTGTGCAAAGCTTGCTTCCATTCTGTCGGTTGCATCTTCACTTTGTTTATAATTTTCTTTGCTATACAGAAGCTTTTTAGTTTGATGTAGTCCCATTTGTTTGTTTTGGCTTTGATTGCCTGTGCTTTCGGTGATTTTTGCAAGAAGTCTTTCCCAATTACTGTATCTTGGAGAATGCTTCCTATTTTTTTCTTCTAATGGTTTGATGGTTTCTGGGTGCATATTTAGGTTATTGATTCGTGTAGAGATGATTTTTGTATAAGGTTACAGGTGGAGGTCTTGCTTTTTACCTCTGCAAGCAGCTGTCCAATTGTCCCAACAGCATTTGTTGAAGAAACCAAACACTTTCCCTGGATTATTTCAATTTTGTTGAAGATTAGTTGAACATACATGTGTGGGCCCCTTTCTGGAGTTTCCATTGA